GTGTGTGTGTGTGTGTGTGTGTGTGTGTGTGTGTGTGTGTGTGTGTGTTGTGTGCGTGTGTGTGTGCGCGTGTGTGTGTGTGTGCGTGCGCACGTGTGTGTGTGAGAGAGAGCGAGAGAGCTAAAGAGAGAGAATATGTGTACGAATGTGTCTGTTTGTTTGTTTGTTTGTTTATCCTGCAAATCTGTGTGTGCACGTGCGTACGTTCGTGCATGCATTAATGATAATGTATTATATCTTGAAATTATAAATGAAATTTCAGCTGGAACTGTTTGCGACGTGAACAGTGGCTCCGGTACAGTGTGCGGCGGCGATGCGATACAAGGAGCTTGCTACGCCAACGAGGCCGCTACGCTACCTGGTTCTAAGATGTGCAGGTGTTACCACGGATGGATTGATGGGGACGGTGGACAGTGTACCGTACCAGATCCTGGAGGTATCGTTTATAAAAAAAAAACGTTGAATTCTTTAAATATTTTTCTATAGTTTATCCCCTTTTAACATTACATGTTAATTACAAAAACATGAGAAATGTACTGGTTTATGCACATCGGGGTTTTCGCCGAAGTATATTCATATCAAATATTCATGCCACGGGTTATGGCAGTAATGATCACCTGCACTAATAATCTTGACAAAGATAAGGTAAACATTTGGTAATTATACAATTTGAATCATTTAATGATTGTAGCAACGACGACGACGACGATGACGACGATGGAACCACTCAAGACAACGGTAGCCGTGACCACAGGAGCCGTGACCACAGGAGCCGTGACCACAGGAGCCGTGACCACGGGAGCCGTGACCACAGGAGCCGTGACCACAGGAGCCGTGACCACAGCAGCGATGACTACAGCCGATCAGGCCGATACAGGCCTGACACTACCTACTACAATCATGCCACCGTTAACCTGTCTAATGGAAAGATCTTCGATGAGTTATACCCGCATACAAAATCCCAGTGTTATCACCTACGCAGTGGAAGTGGTAAAGAAATTGGTATTGCCCAATCTCCCAAATAAAATCCATAAATGTGCATCTCATTGTTCTGCAGATCCCGATTGCGTCATAATTGGTTTTGACAACCCGATTAGCACATGCTATATCTGTCACGTGGCTGTGAACGTTACAAACACTTTTTTAGCGGATCAGGAGTATTTGTGTGCGATAAATTAACGGCTGTTAGCCATGGGATATTCAAAGGCGCAAAATAGATCATTAATTTTATAGCAAGTCTAAATGGCCTTTGCATTGTCTTCTATTGTGGCAGTTATATTGACTATAGACACCCTGACTACTAAAGTGTGTAAAATCATTGATGAGAAAGTGGTTCAACGAACAGCTAGATTATCTTGATTTAATTTCTACGTGTGCTAATTTCAGAGTGTCATTAGTGTTAATTTCTAACATGCATCATTTAATACTCTTAAACAAAAACTCAATTTGCTGGCTAAACCTAGTAACTAGCTATATCTAGTAATCAAAACTGATATTTTCTGGCATAATCTAATTTATTTGAATCTAATCTAATCCAATCGAATATCATATCCAATCCAATATCCAATCCAATCCAATCCAACACAATCCAATCTGATTTATTCGAATATAATTATCACATGATGTGTACACATTATTGGAACTGCTCTACATTTGCAGGTAGAGCAGGTATCTCCTGTGTAGTACAGAAGTTACAACTCATGTAATTAAATTCCAGTTTAATTGTCGTAGTAAACTATAAGAAATTTCGTGCACTCTCAAACACTTTAAAATCAATGCCAGGAGTAATCAACTCACAGTTTAAGATATATATATACGCTTAAAATATAATAGGCTTAAGCTTTTCCGTGTGAATGTGCGTGCGGGAGTGCTTGCGCGTGCGTGCTTGTGCGTGTGTGTGTGTGTGTGTGTTTGCGTGCTTGCGTGTACATGGTTATGTACGAACGTGCGTACTTGATTGCGGTTCTGCGTGTAATAACTAAAACGCCGAGGGTGTGCTAACGTGCAAGAGCATTCACGCCATAAATTATTTCCAAGAATGCAAAATAATATTTTGAATGAATCAATGTATATCGTGACGCAATGCCGACGTCGGCCAGACAAAGGGACGGTCTTAATTATACATCTGCGTTATAGATTTCAAAACGTCGCACTTGTACGTGGTTACCATTGTATGTCCTAATCCACTGTAATCTGGTTTAGAAAATCAATAAAAATTGGATTCCTCAGCACAAAATTGTTTAGTAAATCTATTTACAGTCGACGATTGAATTTATTCTCCACGTATATCACGATGTACTCTCGCATGTGCATCTAGTTATTCCACGGCAACACTCAAAATAATTCGTCTGCTACAAGTGGAATCACAATCAAATTTGAATCAATATTAAGCAAGCTAGATCGTACTTAAAAAATAATAGATCCTTCCAATTAACGAAAACTCTGAACCTGTTTGATCGAGCGAGATACCCACGCCTTCGTGTATTATGGTAGATATTGTTAAGTCTAAGCTAAGTCAGTTGTAGCTAGTGGGGGTTAAAAATATTTTCTTTAATAATGAATATAAGTACTTTAATATCATATCATTGTTCCCCTGGCATCCAACCATAGCAAAAAAAATGTTGATTTCATAATTATGCAAATTAGCATTGCCATGGCAACCAATTAACCTCATTTTGACCCTATTCATATTTTCCACCATAAAATTACTAAACAACATCATAAACGTAAAAGAAAACTATAAATTAGTTTATTAGACCAACCTAAAGGAGTTAAACTAAAAAAAAGTGTTACAAAATATACATTGGCCCGCCTAGGACCCCAAATTATTAAATATTCATTTTGGCCGAGCTCATTATATATGCATAACAGTTGTTGCACCACAAGTTATAAAGATATATATGATAACTGTTTAGTTTAAGTCCCAGACGATCTGCAGCCGGATATCCGCGCGAAGCGCGCAAACGCCGCGCAGCGGCGACACCATGACTTAATCGCTGTCTATATTTAGAACAATTTCCATGGTTTTGTCAAATCGGCCTGTAATCGGTCAATTGAGGAGCTGTGGCGATTGCAGAAGCCTTTCGACTTTGCACGTAGGGCGAGAATAAATCCAAATGCTCGTTTTTGTTGGTGTGTGTCTCGGCGCGCGTCGTTTTCGTGTAGAAAAATAATTTTCCCTTTTCGCTGGTTTATGCCCTGACATTAATTTGGAAGTTATCGCCACCCATAGATGGCGCAACGAGTCCATCTACGTACCATTTTCAAGTTTAAAAAAAAAAAACGCTTGGCTTTATGACCTAGACTGCCGCGCGGTGCACAGTTCGACACGCTAGCGTAACTCACTTCAGTGTAGCCAACGATAGTTGGCTGAGTGAAGGTCGGTAGCGTCCTAGCCCTGCCGCACATCGTCAACTGCCGCGATTGAACTTTCCGTATCCATCTTAACGCTCATCAATCTGATGTTCTTATGTTTGCCATTATGATTATGAAGATGTTTATCTGGATTCTGGAAAAGCTCCGCCTTCGTGGCGTGGGTGCGTGGCGAGAATTTCGTCAGTCTCTGTGTGATTTCGCGTGACATCAGTTCTCTTACGAACAGCAGACATTAATGTTTTTCATAGAAGTCAAGTTAGTCAACGTTAGTCAACACTGTTCTTCAAATAGAAACAAAGATCGAGAGCTGTTGGATGAGTATTTCTTTTCAAATCGTTTGGAGAGCGTACGTACAGCATTATCAATATCAATATCATAGTGACGGGAAGTTGTTACTGCAGTAGTTGTATAGTGTACGGCACATTGCTGTATACTGATCAGTAGACTGATATAGCTAAGGCTAGTAACTAGTAAGTGTACTGGGACCGTAACATTAACCACTATATACAAACTAATTCTAAGGGCTCATGTAAATAGAAAAATGAATAACCCTGAGGCTGAGTGTTCCAATTCTATTTTATATACAGGTTCTTTTACTGCCTATAGGCTATAGCCTAGAGTCCTAACATATAATACGATGTATGTGTTTGTGCGCGTTTATGCATGTATTAATTGCTACGTGTTCTCGGCTTAGCTTAGTCACTCGATGGGTAATCGAGGTGGGAGCGAGGTCCCAGTCATATAGCCTTTGTCCTTTGCAGCCATTTTCCATTACTGGGCAAGGTTCGCCAACGCGAGAATTTCGTCAGTCTTTCTGTGATTTTGGTCACACAGCATCGGTTACGAAGAGAGAAATTATGTTTTTATAACAAGTCACCACTGTTCACGTCCCAAATGTCTACCTCTGTGTCCCCCAGTAAATTGCGGACTGTTCGCTGGCAGCTATGGATCCGTGCGCCGGCCAATTCATTCGGCGCACGGATCATAGCTGCGAGCGCTGGCATACTGTCGTAGGACGTTCCTGCGGTCGCGCGGTGCGCCTTTCCGCGGAATTTGCGCGCAAGATCTGCGCTTATAGCGCTTGGGATCAAACACCTCCTTCGGCAACGCTTCTCTAGTATCCGTCTCATTTGGATATTATCTTGAGCATAAACAGTGCAAATTTCAAGGGATTTGAACTAAAGATAAGAAAATGACAGCAGAAAAAGGTGCAGCAGAAAGGTCGAAATTTGACATTTGATAAACAACGATTTGACCGGTACGAGCAAAACCATACGCAGATTCTAGGACATCAGTGTTCATCCGACAAGATATCGGAGACTGACATTCTGGACAATGGCCATATTTTGTCATTAATTCATGTAAATATAGTCATGTCATACAAACAGAAGCTATTAACAGAATCACTGGGAATGTCTTTTGTAGAGTTAAGTTCAATGGATAATTTAATGTACGTTTTGATGCATGTTAATTTTCACTTCCGGGTTCACAAATATTAGTGAACCTGTTTGCCATAAAATCGTCTCTTCTTGGGTTAACATTGTTGTACTTCGGCATACTTTGACGCTAAATATGTCTTTTAATATGTCTTTATATTTTAAACTGATAATAGTCACTAATATGCGGATATAACGTAGATGACGACGGATATTTACAAGAGACTATAAAAATTTACATGCTCAGACGAGGATACCATTTTTACAATGCACCCTGGGATAACACGATTGACTGGGCATGCTGCTAATTTTGCCTGTAAGATGCAGCACATCCATAGTGATGAGTGGGAGAAGCAAAAAATTGATATTTTCTTATTGCAACAAATTGATTTAGGTGATTAAATTCACTGTCGACGATGCTACTTGCCGGTTAAAATTCTAAAATCACATTACAAATGTAAAATGTTTTTAGACCTGTTTAGAGTATAGTTATAGCAATTAATGATTATTAGCGAAAAATGGAAAGGAAACATACTAAAATAATTAGTAGAGTTAAAAAAATTTTAAAGTCACATTTTGAAAAATTGGTAGTTTCAACCCCCACTAGCTACCTCAGTTAAGCTAGACCCGATTATGTGTTCTATACATACGCGTGCACGCAAGAAAACGTCGACTTGCGACACTTTGTAGCCAGATATTGCCTTTTAGGATGCCTCGCCACACGATGATTGGCTTGCGTTGTCTCTCAGTCCACGCCATGCGGATAGGTCTAGCTGCAGGTTTATTAGAGGAAAGAGTATTTTTCTCTGTGTGTGAAGCCATGGCACGCGCCATCAACGGGTCTGTCATCGGCGAGTCAGGCTTGTACGCCTTCCGTTCTATCATCAGCGACCTGCACGCGGCAGAAACAATCGAAACTAAACTCTATCCTATAGACGAAAAAACCACCAGCTTCTCCCCCTCCTCCTTCTCCACCAGCTTCTCCCTTCTCCCCCTCTTCCTCCACCAGCTCTCTTCTCCCCCTCCTTCACCCCTTCCTGCTTCTCCACCAGCTACTCCCCCTCCTCCTTCTCCACCCTCCTCCTTCACCTTCTCCCTTCTCCCCTTCCTCCTCCACCAGCTCTCCCTTTCCTCATTCTCCACCAGCTTCTCCCCCTCCTCCTTCTCCAACCAGCTTCTTCTTCTCCCCCTCCTCCTCCACCAGTCTCCCTTCTCCCCGCCTTCTCCTTTCCTCCTTCTCTTACCAACTTCTCCCCCTCCTTTTTCTCCACAGCTTCTCCCCTCCTCCTTCTCACCACCTTCTTCCTTCTCTTCTCTCACCAGCTTCTCCCCTCCTTCTTCACCAGCTTCTCCCTTTCTCCCCTCTCCTCCACTAGCTCCTCTTCTCCCCCTTCTCCTCCAAGGCTCCTTTCCCCTTCCTCCTTCTCAACCAGCTTCTCCCCCTCCTCTTCTTCACACGCTTCCCCCTCTCCACCCCTTCTCCCTTCTCCCCTTCCTCCGCCACCAGCTTCTCCCTTCTCCACCAGCTTCTCCCTTCTCCCCTTCCTCATTCTCCACCAGCTTCTCACTCCCTCCTCCTTTTCCACCAGCTCTTCCTTCTCCTCTCTCTCACCAGCTCCCTTCTTTCCCCCTCCTTCTCCCTTCCTCCTTCTCCACCAGCCTTCTCTCCCTCCTCGCTTCTCCACCAGCCTTCTCCCTTCTCCCCCTCACCAGCTCCCTTCTCCCCTTCCTTCTTCTCCACCAGGCTTCTCCCCCTCTCAACCACCTTCTCCCTTCTCCCCTTCTTCCTCCACCAGCTTCTCCCTTCTTCCCTTCCTCATTCTCGCACCAGCTTCTTCCCTCCTCCTTCTCCACCAGCTTCTCCCCCTTCTCATTCTCGCCTTTCCCCTTCCTCCTCCACCAGCTTCTCCCTTCTCCCTTCCTCATTCTCTTACCAGCCTCCTCACCTCTCTCCTTCTCCACAGCTTCTCTTCCTTCTCTCCCTCCCCCTCCACCAGCTCCCTTTCCCCGCCTTCTCCTTTCCTCCTTCTCTACCAGCTTCTCCCCCTCCTCCTTTCTCACCAGCTTCTCCCCTCCTCCTTCTCTACACCTTCTCCCTTCTCCCTTCCTCCTTCTCCACAGCTTTTCCCCCTCCGCTTCTTCACCAGCTACTCCTTCTCCCCCTCTCTCTGCCACTAGCTCCCTTCTCCCCCTCCTCCTCCAGCTGCAGTTAATGTAAGCGGGCTTATGATGGTACTAGAGCTATGACTATAGTAGTAACTGAGTACGTAGTACTAGTAGTAGTAGTAGTATTATGTACGCTATAATTACTACTACTACTACTAGTACTAGCCGAGTCTGGGTACCTGTGTATGGTCACGGGTGTTGGGTGTCGCGCCATGCCTCATGGTGGAGAGAGACAGGCGCTTGTCGCGGTTAAT